GAATGGATCAGTTCATTCATGATAGTAAGGAGGGTAACTTAATCTTACCACAATAACTATGAATTTTACAATGGATATTAAAGTACATCTCTTAGTCTATCGCAATTAAATGTATCCGATGGTCAGAGTGTGTTTTACTTCTGACTAATTTATTACACTAATGCAAGAGTCATCACTCCGCTACATTAAGCATTTACCAGACAAAGTTAATGTTGAAAAGGGAAATTTTTCACAGATTAAACTACTCTACCGATTTCCTTCAATACAGGACAATCTGCATCAAACCTAATGTTAGTAAGTCGACATACATATACGCAGTGCAGGCGTTATGTAGCTGGACAGAAAAACAATAATTACTGCAGATAATCGCTCGATATAGATTCTCCAAACGACCATAAACGTAAGGTTTGGTAGGAGACTTCAACCAGTACTAAGAAAGAGCTATAACAGTGGACTTAAGACATTTAATTTCCTGAAAAAGAACTTTAAAAAAAAAAGATTTTATAAATCTCAACAGACCGAGACACGATGTTTTCCATTATGAATGTCCATATGGAAACGGTTGATTTCCCCATTTTCATTACTATTCAATGACACCTTTTCATAGTTAAAGCGCATAGAAAATCCTATTACATATTATGTCTTTAAATTCCTTGAAGAACATAGGGCCGCATGATCTCAATGTGGTTTCTATAGCAACCATTTTTTAAGTGACCTTACTGTACAAACCCCAACCTGGAGGATCAGGTTTTGAATTCAGAGTTGTCCTTCTAGAAGGCTATAGAACTCAGTCTATTATGGTATTTATCCATAGCTGGGGGAAGGAGAAGAGAATTCATAACTTCAACATTTAGCATTTATTCTTGTCTGTCTTTTGCGTAAGTTTTACTTTTCTGTACGTCCATCTGGCTTATTGCATCTGTTATTGTGATTTATTTCGTATTTATCCTTTTATTTATTTGTATTTTATTTTCTGTTTTATGTAAAAGAAAAAAATGCTTAAAAGTATAAAAAAATGAGCGCCAAGAACGCTGGGAAAAAACTATTTCGGACAAAGAGAAAAAAGAATGTCTTTCCAGATAAGAAATCTGAATAAGCCATTTTCGACGAAAATAAATATATGGATGCCAAAAATTGCAATAATATTGGTGAATCCTCAACAACTCTGGTGGCTGGAAATTGCCTGAATATAAGGGAAATATGCTGGCCGAAAAAGGCCAAAGTTCTCTTATTCTGTAGGGAAAGATGGAGGCCGAAACAGCAAAGAAGCAAGAACCAAACATCGACAATACCAACAAAGACGATAAAGTATCGGTCGTGGAGACTCCCTCTTTCTGAACGTCCTACCAAAACGAAAGATCGACATTTAGGAGTTCCTGGAGAAAGCCAAACGCCATACTCATCTCGTTACAAAAGATGGGCTCTTGACAAATCTCGATGAACTACAGAAGGTTGAGAAACGAATTGTGTTGGTCTTTGTGGTGGACAGGCGTTTGCACAAAATTTGCCGCTTCACAAAGGACACCGTTATAAAATAGTTAACGTCACCGGGGATTAAACAACAGAGAGTCATAAAAAGTAAAGGCTTTTTCATGTGGGACATACTGTTACCCACGACTGCTAACTGTGAAGCTGTTAATACACGACACCTAATAAGCATGATCTCATTCTGAGGACAAAAAGCAGGCGTAGGACCAGTTTCAGTACATGAGGTTCCTCCTCGCAATGTCGGGGAACACGTGGCTACTTATCTGTGCCACTGTTGACAGATACTCAGTGCTTCCTCTGACGATCTTATCGGGGGATGGAGCTTCGAGATAATGGTAGGTCGTAAGGCCTTAGTCTTCATCCCTAACTGCCTGGACGTAGAAGGCCAGAAGAGGCCTATTATAGTCACAGCACAAAGACAGGCTTGCTGGAAGTGCGGAGAGACTGGTCACCTCTCCTCTTTCTGCCAAGAGAAGAAAGCCTCTGGAGTTCTGCCCCCCCCGCCGACCACAAAAACAGAATAGTCCATTATTTATGTAGCATTGGCAAAGCGTAACGGTCGTGCGAACTAAATAAGGAACTAACTAACTAAGGAAGCATAATTATAATAGAGATACTCAATCTTATGATTTTTTTTCTTTTTTAGATTTGTTATAATGGAACACACCTATTCTATAGTTAATAGACTCTCCCACCTATAATAAGTAAGAGTAACGGAAGTCGCTCAGGGAGTTGTTCAGTCAGTCGATGCCGGACGACCGTTAGTCGGATATTAAAGAATCAGCCACCACAACTAGATTTCTCTGCGTCATACCTATTATATGAAGTTCTTAACGTTTTGTACGTCGAACCTATTTTAGGACCGTCTCAGTACAAATACAAGCCTCCACTGTGAAATCACACCATAACAAGATATTTTAATATTATTTTATTACAAGTTTTACTAACTCTTATTAATATTGCTTTTAGATTAAACTTTATTGAAGCTAGTTACAGTAAACTGTATTAAAATTATTAGTAAAGTGCCTGATTTTTCTTCATTAACTGTTATCACGCGAATAAAAATGTATCTGGCCTGTAGAAGGTTAAAAATTGTAAACGAATGCCTAATTTTATGAAGTGGATGACTCGTTTTTAATTAGTACAAATTCAAATAATCATTGAATATGAAAGCAGTTACGACTATATAAAAGAAATTGATAAAATAAGCGCATTGAAGTAAAAAAAAAAAAAAGAAAGAAAAAATCCGGCTACATCTTCGAGTTCACTGAGAGATCTATGACAAAAGGCGAGTTGCGAGGAATTGGAAGCCATTTTGTTAGATTCATTTGTAGGACAAGACGAAGTATAATATAACAAACCGATCAGATTCTAATATTTGCTCGAGGCTTGCTTTACGATGGATGAACAAATGAGCCGGATATCTTCGATCTGAAATCAATAGTTTATGCTTCCTTTTTCTGTTCCTCTTCTTCTTTGCCTCCACCAACATTTTTTAAGAAAATTCTGTGTTGGGTATCAGGTGGGTGAAGGAGTGGATCTTTTGAAGATGAAGATTGAATGGATTAATAAATCTAAAACAAAAGTGAAATTTAAATTTTGAAAGAAAAATTATTAAGGGATTAAAAAACAAAATGAATTCGGTGAGTTTGTTGCTGAAGGAAGGAAACTGAGGCTATGGGAGATGAAAGAGATTAAACTTGAAAAAAAAAGCCAATAAAAATAAAGTAATTTAGAAAAGAAGTCTAGAAAGAAAGAAAGATGAAGAAAATAAAAAAGATGGATAGAAAAACGGGAAGACATTGAATAGACGAAAGAAGAACATACAGAGAACGAAGAAAAACACAATGGGAAGAAAGATTGAAAGAAATATTGAAGAAAGAAAGAAAGAAAGAATGAAAGACGAAACATCATTTCATAAAAGAAATAACGAGTAGGCAATATAAAAAGCAAACAAAAAAGTAGATGAAAATAGAAAGGGGGAAAGCTAGCTTCGAAAACCATAGAGGAAACAGAAGAAAGAAAGAGGTCTAGGAAGAAAAGATAAAGAAAGAAAAAGAAATAAAGGTTAAATGCTTTTAGAGCAATGAAGAAACAAAGAATAAAATGAAGATTAAAATGCAAAAGAAGAAAGGAAAGGGAACTGAATAAAGAATGAACGAAAAAAGAAAGAAAGAATATTGATATGGAAAAAAAGAAAAGAAAGGAAAGAATAAATGACATTACACATACGAAAATCACATGGGCAATGAAAAGAACGAAGTAAATGCAACAGAAGAAAAGAGAGCGAGGAAAAAAAGTACAGAAAGAAAGAAGGAGAAAAAAGAGAGGAAGAAAAAGAAAGGAAGGAAAAGAAAGCAAGAGAAATAAAGAAAGAGTAAATGGCATTACATATTTCAAAATCACGAGGACAATGAAAAACAAAGAAGAAAATGATGATGAAAAGAAAAAGAAAAGACACCAAAGAAAAACAGTGAGGGGAAAGAAAGAAATAAAGAAAGAGTAAATGGCATTACATGTTTCAAAATCACGAGGACAATGAAAAACAAAGAAGAAAATGATGATGAAAAGAAAAAGAAAAGACACCAAAGAAAAACAGTGAGGGGAAAGAAAGAAAGAAAGAAAGAAAGAAAGAAAGAAAGAAAGAAAGAAAGAGTAAATGGCATTACATATTTCAAAATCCCGAGGACAATGAAAAAGCAAGGAAGAAAATGATGATGAAAAGAAAAAGAAAAGACACCAAAAGAAAAAAGTGAAAAGAAAGAAAAGAAAGAAAGAGTAAAGAACATGTTTCAAAATCACGAGGACAATGAAAACAAAGAAAAAATGATGATGAAAAAAGAAAAAGAAAAAGAAAAAAAAAAAGGGGAAAGAAAGAAATAAAGAAAGAGTAAATGGCATTACATGTTTCAAAATCACGAGGACAATGAAAAACAAAGAAGAAAATGATGATGAAAAGAAAAAGAAAAGACACCAAAGAAAAACAGTGAGGGGAAAGAAAGAAATAAAGAAAGAGTAAATTACATGTTTCAAAATCACGAGGACAATGAAAAACAAAGGAGAAAACAATGAAAGAAAAAAAAAGACACCAAAAAAAAAAAAAAGAAAAAAGAAAGAGTAAATGGCATTACATGTTTCAAAAAATCACGAGGACAATGAAAACAAAGAAGAAAATGATGATGAAAAGAAAAAGAAAAGACAACCAAAAAAAAAGTGAAAGAAAGAAAGAAAGAAAGGCATTACATGTTTCAAAAATCACGAGGACAATGAAAAACAATGGAGAAAAATGATGATGAAAAGAAAAAGAAAAGACACCAAAAAAAAAAAACAGTGAGGGGAAAAAGAAAGAAAGAAAGAAAAAAGTAAATGGCATTACATGTTTCAAAATCACGAGGACAATGAAAAACAAAGAAGAAAATGATGATGAAAAGAAAAAGAAAAGACACCAAAGAAAAACAGTGAGGGGAAAGAAAGAAATAAAGAAAGAGTAAATGGCATTACATGTTTCAAAATCACGAGGACAATGAAAAACAAAGGAGAAAATGATGATGAAAAGAAAAAGAAAAGACACCAAAGAAAAACAGTGAGGGGAAAGAAAGAAATAAAGAAAGAGTAAATGGCATTACATGTTTCAAAATCACGAGGACAATGAAAAACAAAGGAGAAAATGATGATGAAAAGAAAAAGAAAAGACACCAAAGAAAAACAGTGAGGGGAAAGAAAGAAATAAAGAAAGAGTAAATGGCATTACATGTTTCAAAAATCACGAGGACAATGAAAACAAAGAAAAAATGATGATCAAAAACGAAAAAGAAAAGACACCAAAGAAAAAACAGTGAGGGAAAGAAAGAAATAAAAGAAAGAGAAAATGGCATTACATGTTTCAAAATCACGAGGACAATGAAAAAACAAAGGAGAAAATGATGATGAAAAGAAAAAGAAAAGACACCAAAAAAAAAAACAGTGAGGGAAAAAGAAAGAAATAAAAAGAAAGAGTAAATGGCATTACATGTTTCAAAATCACGAGGACAATGAAAAACAAAGGAGAAAATGATGATGAAAAGAAAAAAAAAGACCAAAAAAAAAAACAGTGAGGGAAAGAAAGAAATAAAGAAAGAGTAAATGGCATTACATGTTTCAAAATCACGAGGACAATGAAAACAAAAAGAAAAATGATGAAAAGAAAAAAAGACACCAAAAAAAAAAAACATGAGGGAAAAGAAATAAAGAAAAGTAAATGGCATTACATGTTTCAAAATCACGAGGACAATGAAAACAAAAGGAGAAAATGATGATGAAAAGAAAAAAAGAAAAGACACCAAAGAAAAAAACAGTGAGGGGGAAAGAAAGAAATAAAGAAAGAGTAAATGGCATTACATGTTTCAAAAATCACGAGGACAATGAAAAACAAAGGAGAAAATGATGATGAAAAAAAAAAAAAAGACACCAAAGAAAAAAAGTGAGGGGAAAGAAAGAAATAAAAGAAAGAGTAAATGGCATTACATGTTTTAAAAAATCACGAGGACAATGAAAACAAAGAAGAAAATGATGATGAAAAGAAAAGAAAAGACACCAAAGAAAAACAGTGAGGGGAAAGAAAGAAATAAAGAAAGAGTAAATGAAAAAAACGAGGACAATGAAAAAAAAAAAGAAAATGATGATGAAAAAAAAAACACCAAAGAAAAACAGTGAGGGGAAAGAAAGAAAGAAAGAAAAAAGAAAGAAATAAAGAAAAAATGAATGAATGAAAGAAAAAAGAAAGAAAGAAAGAAAGAAAGAATGAAAGAAAGAAAGAAAGAAAAAAGGAAAGAAAGAAAGAAATTGTTAGGAAAATGTGAAAGAAAGAAAAAAAGAAAGAATAAATGAAAGAAAGAAGGAGCAAACAGCGTTATACATTAGAAGATTAGGAAGATTATGATAAAAGAAGCAGGAAATGTAGTTGAAAATGCAAAGGAGGAAAGCAAATAAAGGTAAAAAAGCAGAGAAAGAAAGAAAGAAAATAAAAAAGAATAAGGTAATAAATAAAAGAGAGAAACCGAAAAATATATAAGAGAAAAATGAAGGACATAAAAATTAGGTAAAGCTAAAAGTAGAAAGAAAAAAGAAAATAACCAAACGAATAGAAAAAAGTGAAAGAAATATTGAGAAATCAAATTTGATATAAAGAAAACATAACAAATCCGGATCGTTAAAACGAAACTGTGAGTTTAAAAGACAACAAGGTGAATGTAACGCATAAAAAAAAACAATAAAATGACAGTAAAAAAAAAAAATAAGGAAAACGAACATGAAAAATTTGAATTAAAACAAAATAAATTTTTAAAAAAATCTGTTCTAACCAAATCGAATATTTTTTGTTTCTTATCTATAAGACAAACTTGTCATCTCAAATATTAGAATACCATATCTACCATATGCTCATATATAAACTTATTTTGAACCGGGAAAACAGGTAACGATGACAAACTCCCAATGTACAAGCCATTTTTTAAAGAACAGGCTATTTTGCCGGTCCCAGTAAAATCGATAAACATGATTTAATCTTGTTTTACTGGTCTCGGTAAAATAAACTGCTAGGCTTAGTTTTCTTATTATGAAAACAGATATTGTTAAGAATAAAAACCTCCAGATTTAACACAGATGTTTATTTGTTTTCACCATCAATTGTGAAAAAAAAAAATTAAAAATCTTTTCCACCACCAATTATTTTAAACACAAGTTAAAATCATTTATTCATCATGAATTATTAAAAGAAATATAGAAGTCTCTTAATATTTTAATCAGTACAGGCATAAGAGTTTGTGCAAATCCAAAATTTGCCCTTCTCTTGGCAATACACTTCAGGTGCACCCACTGAAGACAAAAATCAAAGACCAGAGAATCCATGTTGTTCAAGTCTACACAGCTCACACAGCCACTGTGCTGACGATCACAAATATCATTTACTCTTAGTCGTAGAACACTATTTACATAGCCTTCATGATTATTTGATCTAGAAAATTGCCTATTCGCATATATATATATATATATATATATATATATATATATATATATATATATATAGAGAGAGAGAGAGAGAAAGAAAGAGAGAGGATAGAATCCAGGTAGAACTCATGTCCAGTAGAGAGTAAGAATATAATATAAAGGCTCAAACACTAATATTCCTGGTTATAATTTATTACATTGGAATCGTAATCACGATTCAATTCATCAGACCTACACATTCAAAATATTAGTGTTTGAGACTTTTGTATTATATATATATATATATATATATATATATATATATATTGATATATATATATATATATATATATATATATATATATACTATTAAAATATCTTACCGTCTAATAACAGATGAATAAGTGCACCTCCAAATATCTCGGTGACCTGTGTCTTTGGCCTTGTATTAGGTGAAATAAAATTAAAAAAAAAAAACAAAGAAATTATTTAATGTTTCGAAATACTTATCTTCGCATGATAATCTTTTCGTATTTGTTTATCAATGGTCAAGTGTCAAAAATTAACCGTGTCCATTCAGGACGTGAGTGATCATGGTGCTCCACAATTTCCTTTCGTTTGTAGCTTAGGTAGGTTATGCTTTGTTTTCTTCAGTCCCTCTTGGCTTCAATGTGTGTATCAATATTTCTAAGCCTTCTTTCCTCAATATGAGCTCTAGAAATTTGAACTGTTACTTGCGGATGCTGATCATAAGTGTCCTTTTATGTCGAGTTTCATCTAAATTACGTCACAGGTTCAGCTGATGTTATTCTAAGTATTCTTCTGTAGAAATACATTTCTGTTGCTTCAAATCTCTTTTTCGCCTGTGAGTGAGTGAATGATTCGTTTTTTTACGGCTTATCAACCCTTTGCAAGCAAATACCTCTGCAAACAAGGCAAATTATATGGATGCGGGAGCTGCTCTAGGAGTATCCTCCATGCGGTAATATGAGATGTATGACATGCAAGGTCCACTTGAAGTGTGCTAATACCTGGATCGTCTGACAGCCTGCAGTATGTGATCTTCGTGGCCAGGCGTACGAATGGATCTCGGTCTTCCTCGATACGTAGTTTGTGGTGCCAAGGATCCTGTCTCAGCAAAGCGACGTTAAACAGCAGTAAAGTTTGAATGACTCGGTTGTCTTTGGTCTGGAAACGCAAGCCGATACAACCGTGCAACCTCGCGTCCAATACCATTCGCGCGGTTGTGTGTAAAAATCATTTATACCTGCTCACGATATGAGTATCATGTGATTGTTAAAAGACTTCTCACTTAACTAAATACTATGCACGTTAAGCATAGAAGATAGACGGGTCAGAAATGTACACGAATGAGAAATGTAACCTAGTCCTCATCGCAATGCAATGTCATCTAACTTTACACTTTCTTTAAAGTTAATTAAAAAAGGATTTGTGGACATGTTTATATGGAGTTTATATATATATATATATATATATATATATATATATATATATATATATATATATATAGTATACATATTGTGTATTTTGTTTTTGATTAAACTTAGAACTTTTTAAACTTAATTAAAAAAAGATTTGTGGACATGTTTATATGGAGTTTATATATATATATATATATATATATATATATATATATACACTCAGAGGCGACAGACTGCTCATGCTGAACGCAATCATCAGGCCTTTATACTTACATACGCTCTATCTCTGCTTTTGAACACTTTATTCCATAAATATAGTATATATATATATATATATATATATATATATATATATATATATATATATGTGTGTGTGTGTATTGATAAAATCTATATATCTATCTAGTTGGAAATAAGTGTCTAGCGATAAACTTTTAACCAGATAGATAGATAGATAGATAGATAGATAGATAACATTACACATACAAGGCGATATTGATAATTTCTAGGCCCGAGTAAGAACCAACTCCCAAAAATTTGGTGATGCTTTGGCATTTTTTAGAGCTTTTCACTATATAATGTTCGATTTTTAAAATTATCTGAGAACAAAGAAAAAAAAAGAATGAAAGAAAGAAAGAATAATGAAAAAAAAGGAAAGTATAAAGAAAAGAAAGAAAGGAGGAACCGATGAAAGAGAGGCGGAAAGAAAAAAAAAAGATAAACAAGAAGGCTAGAAGAAGGAAATCAAATAAAGAATTATCAATATGAAAACCTTGGAGGCATGAACCAATTGATTCTAATCAGAATCATCAATCTTTTTCTGCTTTTGCTGATCATAATCTTCTTATATGATGACTTTTTTCCCGTAAAGAAAACAAAATCAATCGAAATGTCCTGTCTATTTTCCCTCTGGAAATAATTAACGATCTTGTATTAATAATATTATTATTATTATTATTATTATTATTGTTTTTTCTTTTTTCAAATAAGAATATTCTTCAAGGAGTTGATTTCAAGAACAATTCTACTTGAAGATTTCCATACAATTACTACTCTCCCTCTTTCTCTTTCTCCTCCTTCTCTCTTTCTCTCTCGGTCCTCTGTCTTTGTCTCTCTCTTGCTCTCTCTCTCTCTCTTATATATATATATATATATATATATATATATATATATATATATATTTGTATGGATATGAGTCTGTGACCCTGGGTTTCAAATTTTTGCGATCATCAGACAAAGAGTTTTATATGCTAAATTTCTATGTAAGTCGGCTATGTTTTTAAGAAAAATTGTTGCAAAACAAACTACGTGTCTTTATACAACAGATTAATTTGATCTCTACTTTGCTTTCTACCAAAGAAAGAGAGAGAGATGTTTGGCGCAGCATAATCTTCCCGTTTTCTTGTTTTATTTATGCAAAATTAATTTGTTTGATGAAAAACAATCACCTCTCTTTATTTTGTCTTAAATCAGAATAAGCTGACCAGTGTAACAAAATCGTTTTGATTTATTTATTTTTTCTGTCGGATTTATTTCTGACAGATTAGGCTTATCAGTGCAACACAATATTATCGCCTTATATTGTTTTCTGTCAAACTATTTCACACATTGCAAGACAATCTTTTTAATTTATTTTATTTGGGGGCCAAACTAAGCCGATTGACGTAACACAATCTTGGATATTCATTTTGTTTTTATCTTTGAATTTCCGGGACGAGTAGTTACCGTTGTTTTACACTTGGAATGATTGCCTCATGTTTGTTGTTATTAACACAATATATTCGCCGTTCTCATCTTCAGCCTTGATCAGGGGCTTGTCAGTCCGACAAGGTTCAGAG